TTGAAAGTCAGTAGAAACCTAGTGAAGATTGTATGTTTATTTGCACTTTTACAATAGAACAAGTACAAAAATAAAACTTCAGGTGTTAACATAAATTACACCCTTTTTAGAACCAACATCTGTAAGGCCTGTTAGGTCTGACTTTGTCAGGCTAATTTCTCAGGTGCAACCTTCTCACAAAACAGCAGTGTGACTGTACCATGAACTATGCCTACTGGCTTTTGGGGTTTGAGTTTAGTTAAAAAAATTAGAACCTGTGAAAAAACACTAGATAACAGTCCTTAAATCCCCTTCATATTCATAGAAAGGGTGTAGATTAGGGAACTAGGTAGGCTTCTTCCACAACTTCACACCACCACCTGAAAACTTACTCAGAAGATGATATCTAGGGGGCAAAGGATTAGTTCTGTCTTTATCTTTATCTACTCCATGACCTTTCAATTGAAACTAGCAGCTTGAGTTCAAATTGCAATGGTGATTTTGTTATATTTTCCGACATGAATGGAAAACCAAGTAGATGTTAACAATTTATTTCACAAAACTCAATAGCTAAGTAGTAGCAACTTTCAGCTGGTTTGCTTGGTGATCTAGAAGTTAAAGGTTCTGTACGCCATAACCAGTTCCCTGAGACACATCCTAAAATTATGTTAGGATGTATGTGCAGGAGCTTAATCCACTATTATGACCTTTTTATCTGCATTTGGTTTTGAAAGCAGTTGGCTACTGGTCAGAAAAAATGCATGATTAGCTATGTCAAAAATATCATAGATTGAATACTTGTGTGCCAAAAAAATTATGTAAATCAGGCAAATTCACTGATTATAGGGTTACCCGTAAGTTCAAGAACTACAGTATAAGTTGTCCCAGTTTATAGATATTGTTACGTCAGGGTAGAACTTAATGTGCTGGTAAAAAGTGTAAGAGTTGATTTATTTTTCCATGTATACCTTACCCAAGCAAAACATCTGTAGCACAAAAACAAATACAGAGTCCAAAATGCAGTAAATCAAATTTAAGACAGAATATAAAGCCGAGCTCCTCCAATAAGGGCAAACCAATCTTCATTCTCTTTTGATATGATATTATTAGGCAAAGTATCTGTGTATATTTTGATTTGAACATCTATTAACCATTGAAATAAATACATGTAACTAGTAAACATAATTACTACAAACATTCATGTCAACACCAAATGGTATAAGTGTGGAAAATTGTGGGGAAAAAGTGGCAAAAGTGTGGAAAATTGTACATCTGATTATATAAAGAGCAGGCAGAAGTTTAGATTCACATTCACACAGTTTACCCTATGGACCACCTTCATACTCCAAATAGTCAAACAAACTGCATAGACTGCACTTTCTGTATATATGCCCTCAAAATATTAACTTAAGAGCTTATTATGGAAACGTAGTATGTACACAGATTATGGAACAGAACAGCATAATGATCTGAATCATTTCTATAATTATTTGAAGTACTTAATGACCTAGAGATGTAGATCAAATTTAAATTTGCCTTTATGTAAAAACGCTACAGTAACGCATTTAGATCTTGTGAAAACCTAAAGTCTTTCCAGATTCCAGGCCCTATGTATCAGCATTGGAAATAAGTTAAAAAAGAAGTTAAACTTTTACTCTATAGGAGATGCATGCCAACATCCAATACCTTAAATACAAAAAGGTCTAGATAGTTAAGGCATGCCTGGGGGGTGGGGGGGGGTGCCTTTTTTTTAAAAATAGTTTTCAGCAGAAATTCCCAAAAATCTGCAGAAGTCCCAAATCCAATATTGCTGCAAATTTTACAAAAATATAAGGAACTGAAAATTCATATTGGTAGTTTTTTATGTGAATAACTGAAGTTCAGTGATGATTCAAGAAAGAGCATGATGCAAACTATAGTTCTTGTAACAAGAGCTGTTACCATATCATTGAAAGCCATATTACAAGCTGCCTACAAGGCAGTATAATAAAGATCACTGTACTTGTTTTTGATTTATATGCAAAAAAAAATCAAAAGAACAAATCAAAGAATGTATATCCTTTGGTTATTTTATCTGTAATGTAGAGTTGAATTTCAACAGGCTTATTATATCAAAGGTGATAGAAAAGTTGGTTTAAATCAAGGAATTAGTGTGAATATTACACAGTTTCTAGAAAGAAATTCCTGCAATACATTTGCATAGTTAATGAGGTTAAAAAGGGGAAAAAAGCATACCAGAGACTAAAATTTTAATTGATAACCATTCATGAAATTCAACAGATATGGTTCAGTTCTTCCAACTGCAAGTATCTGTATTTTTCCAAATTATGATATAAAAAATTAGTAGTCTTAAGCATACTTTGCTACTGTCACTATATGGAAATGCTTGAAATTTCCATAGCAAATGTGTCAGCACATGCCTGAGTTTTGTGAAAGCCTAAAAAATCACAGGTCTGAGGTAACTGACTTACTTAAAAGATTAAAAGGTACTGGTGGGTACTTAAAATTTAAATATTCTTTAATTACAGCACTACTCAGAACATTTAAGAAAGGAAAAAGTATATTAAGAAGATCCATCTCAGCATTTCACAAAGTGCTGGAAGGAAGGGAAGAAGCAGGAATGAATAGATAGGAGACAGCAAAAGATGTCTAAATGAAAAAGTGCATGCCTTTAATGCCATAGGGCAGAGGTTCTCAAACTGTGGTCCACGAGCTTCATTCAGGTGGTCCGCAGAAAGGTTGTGGAACAATCGAAAATATCTGTACTTGTAAGGTAAGACTACTGATATTAAAATATGAGTTGTTTGCTTTGATTTGTAGAGGGGAAAAAAAGGGTATTAAGTGGTCTGCCGAGATCCTCAGCAATTTTCAAGTGGTTTGCAAAAAAATAAAGTTGAGAACCACTACCACAGGGTATATTTAATAAGTATAATAATTATCTCTGGTTTCTGAAGGGGAGCTCAGCTTTCAAATAAATGACACTAGTAAATGAATTACACTGTAAGGATAATGGAAGATTGTGAAAGTATAATGGAAGAATTTAGTATCACACCCTTGATTTTTCAGGTGAGAAAACCTGATATAGGGAGGATATGTGACTTGCTCAAAACTATATGGTGAATCTATGTCAAATGTAGGATTATAACTAAAAAATTGCTACCTTCCAGTCTAATGTCAGGGGTGATTATGCCTTGAATAAGCTGTTGGACCAGGTGACCTCCTGTGGTCTTTCCAGCCCTACTTTTCTATGATTCTAATCCACTAGATTATGCTAAAGAAGTTACAGAAACACATGAGGTTCTTTTTTTAAAATAATTTAAGCAGCCCCCTAAATAATTAGTTTAAAGTGCTGGTACATAGCGCTTCAAAGTTATGTAAGATAGGGGTTTCATTTTAGATACTCTCAATTCCAATATAGATACATTGGCATATTTTAGGTCTTCATTCACCCAAACACAGCTCATTCTTCTAGAAAAAAATAGAAACTGGGGAGAAGGTCTGAAGAATTCTAACTAAAGAAAGGCTGGAATAAACTTCCTCTAGTCAAAGTTTACTAGTTACAGAATATTTTTTCTCGCGCTCCAAAAAAATTGCAAACAAGCAAACAGGAGCAGCAACACACACACGCACACACAGATGTGTATGTATATCTATATATGTATCTAAGGTTCATTTAGCTATAAGATTTGCCTCTAAAAGCAAAGAGAGAAAAGTAGTAAAAAGAGAAATTGGGGGAAAAAGCAGAGGTTATCTATCTTAGGTTTTTTTAGATACCTTGGGTATCTTCCTCAAGGGTGGGTGAGTGTGTGTATGTATATAGGCACGTGTGTGTATTATATAATATGTGTGTGTGTGTACACACATATACATATGCACACACACATACACACTTGTACCTATATACACACATCTGTATGTGTGTATACACACACGTACCTATATATGCACATCTGTACATGTGTATACACACATATGTGCCTATATACACACATATGTATGTATGTACACACACACACACGACTATATACATACATATGTATATGTGTATACACACACACTCACCCACCCTTGAGGAAGATACCCGAGGTTATCCCAGTTTCTCTTTTTACTACTTTTCTCTCTTGCTTTTAGAGGCATTACTCCTGCTTTTCAGTGTGTTGAAACCCATGTGTTTAGTACCAGGGGAAACTATTTTTACGAGGAAAAAACCGCAATTTCTGTTCCATACTAAGAACAATTCAACCGATACCATGCAATGGTGACGAGAGGCGAGTGGAGGAGTTTATAATCTCTTCCTGCCCTGGGCAGCTCAACTCTCAATCGCGCACACGAGAAAGTCAAGGTGCTTCTCCCAGAGCGCTTTCCGTGCCCCCCCTCCCCGCAGCACTTGGCACCAGAAGCGTGCGAGCCGCTCGCGTTCAGCACCTGGGACAGCGCCCGAGCCTCGCGCTCCGCTCATTGCAGTGCCTCCCTCCCCGCCCCCGCCTCCCGGGCAGCTGGCCCCTCGCGAAACGCCCCGTGCCCCTTTGGCACCGCTGAGCCTTCCTAGCCTGTGCTGCCCTCTGGATTACAACCCGACAGGAGGCAAGTACCAGCGGCAGGCCAAGACTAAAACACTTCCCCGAGGCCATAAAGTTTGCAGCCAGACACAACGACGACATGCAACGTTTGCCTTAGCTCCATCCTTCCACCTACAAAACGGCTCCTGCCAGCCATCCGCCCCTGGGTGGCTGACAGCGGGCCCACCAGGCTTTCGGGGAGGTGGGTTAACGTAAGCCCGGGTGCGCGGGTCTTGGCCATCCACTCCACTGCAGGATCTCGCAAGCCCGCAGCTCCCAGCATGGCACTGGCCCAAGCGCTTCCAGGCCCGGCCTCTGGGGATGGTCCCCAACCAAGTTCCAGCAGGCAAGCCAAGATCCAGCCCTTTCCCCTTCTCCTTGCCAGCCAGCACCCCCCGACCAGCGAGCACCCCGCAAACCCGGCTCCAAGCCTCCCACCAGCAGCAGACTCCGAGGACTCACCATATTGACTTCGGACACCATGTCGATGCTGGCGATGTCGATGTTCATGCCAACGCAGACGGGGGGACCTGGGGAGGCGGAGGAGGAGAAGCCATCACCCCCTGCCCGTCGCCGCTTCCCCGCAGCATCGCTGCTCCGCGGGGAGGGACCTCTCCCACGCCGCCTCCGGCACCCGGGGGAGCCGGGACACCCCCCGCCCTGCCTCCCCGGGGCACCTCACCTCCAAAATCCGGGCGGAGGCGGATGTCGTAGCCTTTCAGCAATTTATCCACAGTTTCTTTCACGAAGGACATGTTGCCGGGATCGTTCACGCTGTGGAGGAGGAAGGGGGGCAGAGAAGAGGCCATGAGGTGCTGGGCCGGCTGGGCACCCCCTCGCCTCCCCAGCCTGGCCAACCCCAGCGGCCCCTACCTCTGGGCGCAGCACACCACGGCCACGAGCACGGGAGCAGAGAAGAGCCCGAAGATCCTGCCTCCCGAGAAGCCCCACATCCCTCCCCGCTCCCCGCCGCCGCCGCCGCCGCAGCTCCGGCTTAGCCTGAGCTCCGCCGAGGAGGGAGGGAGCGAGGGAGGAGGCGGAGGCGCCCGTGCTCCCCGCCACTCGCCGTCCCCTGCCGCCCCC